CTACCATTTGTTTGGGTAAAATTGCTAAGAACCTGTCGGCGAGTGTAAGTTTACTTCTTGTTATCAGCCCGGCTTCCATTAACTTCTGGACAATAGTCTCGGCCAAAGATCCTTGTTGCTGCTTTCTCTCGCTCCTTGAGAGACCCGTTTGTTCATGCACGGAACGCTGGACTTCTGGCTCTAGCAGCAACATTCGACCTCTTCTCCGAAGAGGACTGTGCTGCCAAAGTACTACCCATCATTACCCCTGCGCTCATAGATAGGGAAAAGTATGTTGAGCCCTTTGCCATGAAGCAGAGTATGGCAGTAGCCTAACATACATTATATAGGCTTGTTCGTGATCAGGCAAACAAATGCGTTGACATATACTTGCAGCGGGTGCGCAAATTTGCTTCGAATATGGCAGATACGGCACTTCCATCCCAGGAACGAGCAGACTCATCGGTATCAGCAACCAGGCTTCCCAGCCCAAGCAACACGGCAGCTTCCTGGGCCGGATGGGCCATATCTTCATTCGCGAGCAAAGCAGGAGAAACTAAGGGGGTTATCGAACCAATCCAGCCAATCCTACCAAAATCCAATGGTAAACCAGTACATAATTCTTTGCCAACTTCCCAAGCTGGGCCTGCAATTCCTACCCTTGCTCAAAACGTTGCACAATTCTCGCAAATGCCAACCAGTACGGCTACCCAAGCTGTGCCTGATTTACTAGAAGATGAAGATGAAAGTAATGCGTTCGAAGACTGGGGCGCAATGGACGAGGTCATTGATGACGAGGCAGAAGCACATGGGCAGGAAGAGACCCTCTTTGAAAGGGCAGCAGAAACTCGCAGTCCGGCTCTTTCGCCGAAACCTCATCAATTTGCAGACGGAGGAGAACCTGACTTTGCCGGATGGCTAGCTAGTCAATCCAAGTCCAAAGCAAAGAACCCATTGCCAAAGGGGCTAAAGAAACCCTCAGCCTCAGGGAGCTCTGGCACCGCACAAGCTAAACGGGCAGAGATCAAACCCAAGGCACCTCTTCAGTCTGCGAAGAAGATCGATACCAAGCCTAAAGACGAACCACTAGATGACGACGGATGGGGAGACGCTTGGGATTGATTGGGGCCTCACTCTCTTTCATGCATTATGTTCTGGAAAAGTTGGAATTTTCTGTCACGATGTACTAATGATATATTTCAGCATTGGCGTTTTGGCTGGAGACTTTCTACGTAGATAAGCTCCCGTTTTAACATAATAGCATAGGAAGCTGTATTTTTTGTCAATCATGGAACTGCTCCGGCTAAGTCCTACCAGGCAAGCTAAATATAACAAGCAGCAAACAAAATTTTTGAGTATATGAATGCACACTACTTCAAAAGGTCCAGGTAATACACCAACAGCGTCAGCTCGTCAGCTCTACCGTACACGCTCCACGGTCCTCTGATCGCTAGAGAAGCGCTGTGGCTAGCGGTTAAAGGGGTTAGGTTTCTCTCATCATTCCCAGCATTTTTTATCCATAATATTAAATATGCTGATATTGTGGATATAGGGACTGGTGCGGCTATAGCAGAAAACTTGGCCTCGAAAGGGTTGATCGCTTTTGCTAAATTACATGTCTGATAGCTCAAGAGCCCAATCTCCATCAACCAAATATTCCATCAGCCGTTTTGCTACCCAAGCTGATCTGAGCAATCATGCGACGGCATCAGAGCAAACAATTGCCAGCACAAAGGAATATTCCTAAGCCAGTTGGCAACGACAATTCAAGATTTGGCATACTCAGGATTTGGCATACTCAGGATTTGGCATACTCAGGATTTGGCATACTCAGGATTTGGCATACTCAGGATTTGGCATACTCATCAACAACGCTGGCATTGCAGGCTCCAGGTACCTCAACGATCCAGTCCAGGGCGCAATAGACGCAGTCCTGGTACCGTTGCTAGTCATACAGGCTGTCGCGCCTTTATCTGCCACATGATCGGTTGGGAAGAATTGTGAGTTTGCCCAGCATCAGTGCAAGTCTCCAGCCTGTGGGCCAGAGCCTCTATGCTAGCGCAAAAGGCGCCCTTGAGGCGATGGCCTAGGCATGAGCTCGTAAACTAGCAAATAGAGCAACTGTCAGCTCTGCCACGGGTGATGAAGAGAAGAAGATGAGGGAGAAGATGGAACCAGCGTTTACGGGTGAGACTGCTGGCGTTGTTGGCATGCACTGCACGACGGATGGTAGCCGGTGTACCGGCAGCGTTGTCTGCACCAGCGGAGACATGCGAACAAGCCCAGAATGTCCAGGCAGCAACATTAAATTATGCGCTAAGATGGGCTGAAGCTGTCAAATGTGGCTGAGAAACGTTGAAGCCTTCGGCGAGCCTCGTATTTCCATCCACCAAGCCACATTAGCTCTTCTATTTAAATATTGGGCAAAGATACATATCAATAGCATCATGCCCCGCCGCCTTTTTTCTCGCTGCCTGTGAGATACATATTCTCTTCAATATACAGCTTCATACAAGCTATTTGTCCATCCACAAACACCCAAGAAAGAAATCCGGATATCGACTTCTAACATGACTCTAACATATACACATTCTGGTGACGATGATGCACCTCCGCCTTATACTCCAACCGATCCTCTTACTCCGGCTTCCACTGTCACAGATTCTTCCAGACAAGTATCATCAGCCGATCATATCCCATCCTATACCCATGCAGTAGAGGCTCCCAATTTCGTATCTGCCGCTGCATACTTCAGTGAGCGCCGTCCGCCGGCGAACCCGCAGCCGGACTCTGAACCCTTGGAACATGCTCTCATTTTCTACAAGCGAAGCCAGGCCAAAGACTACTCGAGATATCCACGCTGCTGGCGCTCAAAAGCCGAAGATATTACTCAGCATGATTGGGATACTTTTTTAAACTACCTCCTACCGCTGCATCTTGGACCAGCATCAAGCCACCCCCATATGCCACAAAAGCTGCGTGCAGAGATCGAACGGGATAGAAAAGATAGGCCACAAGAGACGGATGAAGAACGGCAATGGAGGATCACTGCGGTGGTTACAGAGTGGAATTTCAACTTTTTCCTACCGCGTGGAGTCATGATCGTTTACTGCTTTGTTCGTGAAGATGGAACGCAGCCTGAGACTCCGTTATGCCCGTCATGCTATCCAAACACTACATCTTCCAGGTCACGCAATGATACCACCAGGTCCTTGTTTGAGGCACCTACTTCTTCGAGAGAGATACATGAACTGCCTCAGCCCTCGAATCCGGTCCCAATAGCCCAGCAAAGCCGGCAGGCCACCGACCCAGCACCGGAAATAGGTGAAGCGAAACCGGATAATCAATATCAATACAGTTCCGGTCCAGCAGGTGCACCGGGGGTGTGGATATTCAACCCCGGTGCAGCAGTCAATAACATTGCTTCAATGGTTTCGGACCAAATTCAGCGTTACAGTCAATATGTAGCAGATCAAGCTGTGGAGAATAGCAGAAGGGTGAGCGAACAGGTTCAAGCAGCAAGCCGCGAGGTGCAAAACAATGCTCAGGCACATGCAAATTACGTCCAGCAGCAGGCCACGCAGGCAAGGCACAGAGCCTACTACAACTTTAATGTTTACAGGAACCAAGCACAGTCAACATGGGCCGGTCACCATGCTCGGTTTGCCGGTTATGGTCCCGGCCAGCCTCATTATGGTGGATGGGGACAGGGAAGAAGAACCTGGGGCCCCAGTGGGTGTCATCCAGATACTACCGCTGCCTGGGGACTTTGGTCAGAGAAAACTGAACCCGGTCAGCGTGGACGCGAATGGGGCCATATCGAACAAAGGGGCAGAAGGGCAAGGAGTGCCTCCGTATCTTCATCCTCATCTTCTTCATCAAGCAGCTCCTCCGAATCACTGGACTCCGCCTCATCCGACTCAGGTCTGAAAAAGAGTGAACTCGCTGCTCTTAAGGCCGCCCTCAACAATCTCAAAGAACAACAGGAGCAACGGCGCGTTTCAGCGGCGGACTACCGAGCCCGCAGAAAGGAACTGAAACGTGACTACAGAGCCCTGAGATCGGCTCGGAGAGAGTTCCGCTCAGCAGGCCGACGTTGTCGAGGCTCCAATGCCGAAGCCTGTACTGGTTCCAGCTCCAATCCGGCCGCTCGTGGGGAGCCCAATTCAGATATTGACGAAATAAAGAAAGACATGCAGGAGATTAAGGATCATTATATCAACCTAATACGCAGTTTGCGTAATGAGAAGCATGAGCTGAAGCAGGCTGAGAAGAGCCACAAACAGGAAGAGAAGCAAGCTAGAAAGGAAGAGAAGCAAGCGAGGAAGCAAGAGAAGGCAGCGAGGAAAGAAGAGAGAAAGAAGGCCAAAGATAAAGGCAAGGGGAAAGCCAAAGGTTCGTTAACTCCTCCGATGCTTACTTTGATTCTTTGTTGATACTAATCCTAGGCTGAAGCAGAGCCAGATATGTCCTTTGAAAGACAAATAGGGGATATCAATCTTTCGTCAAATACGCTCCCTCCGGATTCCCCGCAAGCGCCTCAGACATCTGGAACAGTGGTGAATGATATCAAGCAATAGCGGATGGAATATGTGCAGCCGAGCTGGACCTGATGTGACAAAGTGAGGGACTCACCTTTCTTCTTGTGTTATTTTAAGGTAATAAATATATAATAAATTGAACTCTACTCGGAATCAATAAAACTTTTGTTATTTTTTGCTTCATTTGAGGTATACAGTTGGACGGCATAGCACTCTAGCCAGACACATTCCACAGCTCAAGGGCTTCATGTATGACATAACCTGTCCATCGCTTTTTCGTTCATCAGTTGTACATTTCGGCTCACCAGGCCCGAAGAGCACCTCTCACGCCTGCGCTCGACTCTCATTTCGCTCCACGAGGTCTCCTACTCCCAAGCTTCTGCCGACTTTGACTCTGATCTTTTTCTCCTCCTTGCCAGTATCGTCACTAGCCTTGCCCACATCACCAACCTCATCCCCTTCATCTACATCTTCTTCCGTATTCTTGATTGACTTGCCATCGAGGCCAACCGTGAATCCCTCATTATCCTTGATCCATAAGTTGGTCAGGTCCATCTTCATAGCATATGCATTCTCTCCGTCTGCGTAGTATTTAGGCTCGATTTTCTCAACTTCAAACCCGAGTGTGTCACGGTAGAGACGTAGGGCAGCCGTGTTAGAGACACGGACATGGAGTGAAACGTAGTGTGCCTTATGGGACTCTGCCATTGCTCGTTCTATTGCCGTAGTTAGCTTGATATATACAAATCTCTTCTGTTGATAGGCATACGGCTCATTCGCATCAGCCGCTCAGCGATTCCCAGCCGCCTATGCGTTCTCATGACACTTAAACTTGTAATATGGCCATGGGGCAGCCCATCAGACGGTTCCTCCTCCATCTTAGCGAGGACATATCCGACGACTTTGGGGTTGGCGGCGGGCGAGTAAGGGTCTTTCGACTTGCTGGAACGGTCCCGGACAACAGCGACGAAGCTCAGCTGCGGCCATGAGAGGGCATGGTAGAGATAGTATTTCAGAAAATAGTTTTCAGGGAGGTTGGTGATGTTGCAGGTCTGCACTGCCGGTAGCAGAGAGATGTAGGACGGGTATGAACAGAGAGGGAGGATGTCGACCATGATGTTACTATTTTTCGACGTTTTCAGCGTTCGATGTCACAGATTCTTTTCAAACGTAAGAAAATACTGCGGCTAGAAAGTATTTAACTATTGAAGCCTGCGAGTTGGAGCAAAACAGGGACTTTTTGATATTGTTCGTCTGATGTTTTTCTTTTCTTTGGTGGGAGAAGAAAATTTGGTGGAGCGAAACTTCAACCATCAACTTATTCACAATACACAATACACAATAACAAGAGACAATAAGACGGCTGCGGACAATACGAAGGAGAGAAATCTAGTTGACGATGGTCCATTTGACTGGGTGTCTCTAGTTGGAGCTTCACTAATCGAAGTTATTCCTACACAGGGAGAGAGAGACACACAGACAGACAGAGAGATCCAAGGGGATGCTCAACAGGAAGACGATGTCTTAGGAAGATCGAAAGCCTTCCCTGAGGACCCAGTTAGACGAGAGAAAGAGAGAAGAAGAAGAAGAAGAATACAAGGAGACGACTTGGTGCTTGATCAGGCGGTGCAGGCAGATGACCAAGGGACAGACAGACGAAGGACCAGCAGCAGCCTTGGGACGAGTCCCAGTTGCACCGCCAGCTCTCTTCAGCTTCTCCCGAGACGGTTGTCATCTCTTTTATCCTTCGCCTCAGGGATAAGACAGTTGATCTCTCTCCACCGTTTACGTCATTAGCTGCGCTGTTGGCTGCTGGCTGGTTGAAACAATCAATAAAAGGTATACGGTGCCTGGAGAGAAAACTGCCCTGTTTTTCTTCCTATGACCAGCCATGGAGACTCTTCTGTTCGCGCTTTGCGCCGCTGTTGTCGGGCTTCTTTGCCCTGTGAGGACGGCGGCTGAGGCAACAATCACCTTGACCGGCTCAGATATCCCGACGTCCATTTCGATACACGATGGAATGCCAACTGGGTCAAGTAGACTCAGCCAGTCGACTTCCACGAGCAGTTCGACGTACTCGTCCGAAAGTTTTTATACCACTACATCTGACAGCTACACCTTGCTGGTTGGCAGCCATACCACCAGCACCGTGACTGCAAACGAGACCACGCTGTCTGGAAACGCTACAGCTACCGAGACATCTCGGGAGCCCCAGCCTTCAAACACCAGGCCATGCAACGGATACCCTGAATTCTGTGCTCGAAGCTACGGCAATATCACGCATGTGGCAGCTCATAACAGCCCCTTTGTTCGACCGGGGAATATTGCTAGCAACCAGGAACTTGAAGTGGTCACCCAGCTCAACGATGGCATTCGGATGCGTAAGCTCTCACCCTCAACTGACGGATATCCGATCTAACCCACTCGTAGTCCAATTCCAAACTCACTTTGTGAACGGAACTATCTACCTCTGCCATAGCTCGTGTGATTTGCTAAATGCTGGCACGTTGGAGAGCTACCTGAAGAAGGTTGCAGAGTGGCTCAAGGCCAACCCATACGATGTAGTATCCCTCCTCATCGGCAACGGAGACTTCATCAAGGCCACGAACTTTACCGCACCGATCCAGAGCTCTGGTTTGATAGACCACGTCTTTACGCCCAAGAAGCCATCGCTTGCCCTGGACGAGTGGCCCACGCTCTCTGAGATTATCCTGTCCGGCAAAAGGGCGGTGATCTTCATGGATTATGAAGCCAACCAGGGCGACGTCCCGTACATCCTTGACGAGTTCGCGCATATCTGGGAGACCCCGTTCTCGCCAACGGACAGGAACTTCCCCTGCGACGTCCAACGGCCACCTAATCTCAACGAGGCAGACGCCAGAAAGCGCATGTACATGGCAAACCACAACCTGAATCTCGAGATCAGCATCGCTGGGGCCACCATTCTCGTGCCTAATTTCGTCCTCCTGAACGAGACCAACGCGGTATCAGGATTCGGCAGCTTGGGCGCAATGGCTGGTAACTGTACAGGTATTATCTTCTTCTCTTTCGTCTGTGTATACGTACTTATATCTCTTACAGAGAAATGGGACCGTCCTCCGAACTTCCTCCTAGTGGATTATTACAATGTGGGCAACGTAAATGGCTCCGTCTTCCAGGTTGCTGCCGAGCTCAACAACGTCACATACAACGGCAAATGCTGTGGGCGAACCACTTCTCTCGCCTCTGGCTCCGTCTTTTCTGGTCTATCCTCGAGCCTTCAAATGATTTACTCGGTGATCATGATCAACATTGTCGTTATGACGATACTATGAACGCTAGTCTCTTTTTTTACACCCTTTCACCACAAGGAGTCCGGGATAGATCATGGTTATATTAATTATTAGCCGTCAAGCCATCCAGCAGTTAACTATATAGAGAGTAAATAGAAACGAGTTATCGTATTCATAACCAGCCCAAGCATGACAGTTATTGACGTAGTTTATGATGATGCAACAACACGCAAGCAACTCCAAGCCACATTTCAGTTTTTTTTTTCTCCACCGAGAAGTCAACATCCTTGATATTAAACACGCCAAACAAGCAGAGCCATGGCAGCTCCAGTTCCAGTCTGACGAAGAAGAAGAAGAAGAAGAGAGAAGCCTCGCTCGGCGCTGCTTACAAGTCAGTCAGATGTGTACGCAGCGCGTGATGGCGTCACAAAGCATTCTCTGCATCTGCTGATACCTACAATTCATCTTCGACCTCCCTAACAGTACCAAACACAATAAGGATCTCTCTCTCTCTCTCTTCACTCGCAGACTCAGTCTCAGCCTGTGAATCTCGGCCCCAGTCAAATGACCCGCTGGCTCAGGAGGATCGTCTCTTGATCCTCTGCCCGTTCCTGGGCTGGCCTGCTGCTGGACGCTGCTGATGAGATGATAAAATAAGAAAAGAAGAAGAAAAACGCCCTTCAGCGTCATCATCTCACGCCCTCAGCCTGGGTCTCTTCGTTGATTAACGTAGCTGCTGGACGAGCTGCTTTGTGGCCTTGCTGCTCACCTATTCTATCAACGAACATTTATATATCATTACCCGCAACAAACCACGGCGACATCATAGCCATGCCGCCGCCCATCCTTTCAAAGCTATGGCCTGATGCTCCCGAGTCGAACGAGAAGCCTCCTAGCCAGAGCTTTGTAGGCCGACGGCCGGCAATACCGCACCGCATCCTTCACTCGCTCATATATTTGCCTGCTTTCGTTATGCTCCTTCTCGTGCAGATAGGCAATTTATCAGATAGGCCGGTGCTCCGAGACATCTACTTCCTAAAGATCGACCTTTCCAATATCATTCCGTTGACCGTTCCGAATGCTGTCTTGATCAACAGTATTGCCCGGACGATTGGGCTGCATGATTTCTACCAGGTTGGGCTATGGGGCTTCTGCGAAGGGTACGGAGACGGTTCTGGGATCACCCGTTGCTCTAAACCAAAGTCGACGTACGCCTTCAACCCAGTCAACATCATTACCGGCGAGCTGCTTGCTGGCGCTACAAGTTGGTTCCCCCGTGTAATCCTCCTCCATTCAGAGCTATTCTTACTGACCCTCCCCCGAAATTTAACAGTCGTCCTGCCTAGTGGAATCACTCGTGCCTTGAACATCGCCCGTGTTGCTTCCAACTGGATGTTTGGCTTCTTTATAACTGCGACAATCCTCTCATTCCTCTGCATGATCCTTACTCCATTCTCGATTCCCTCTTCAGCGGCTATTCTTTCGGCACCTAACTATTCCTCATATTATCGAGCAAAGAGAAGAGCCACGCCGAATAGGACGGCAATTCCCATCACCATAATCGCATTCGGCGCCTGGTTCACTGCATCAGCCGGATCAGCTGTCGCCACTGTGATGTTTGTCATCTTCCAGACTGTCTTTGAGAATAATGCTGCAGACCTCAACATCCACGCCGAGCTGGGAATTGCGATGATGGCGTGCATGTGGATCCCTGTTGCGCTTTTGACGATCGGATTCCTCCTGCAACTCCGCAAGTTGACTGGGTCATGCCGCAATTGTTGCTTTTATTGTTGCTGTTGTTGTCTATTCCCGTCGGCCAGAAAGGCCCACAGAAGGTCCCAACTCACCAGCTAAAAAGAAAGAAGCTTCGATTGGATCATCGCCAAGCGAATGCTTAATTCGATTTTATTCATCGGATGAGGGGAGGCCATTTGTTGTGGCTTCGTACTATGTAGTCATAAATAACGAAAGCCGTGGAAGTGCTCAACACCCTGATATAAGTAGGGAAATACGTATTGCCAGCGCACTTGAGCATATCAGCCACCCGCAGCTCTCGGTGGAAGTAGTTATGTCTATGATATTTACCCACGGCAAATAGACTAAAAACTAATTAATTATCGTTTGAGATCTCGGCAACAGAGTAGCAATCTGCTCTTATATATGGATATTTGCGACTTATCCGAAGCCCCTAGTCCCACCGAACGAGGATCCATTGAATGTAGAAGTGAAGTTAGAACGTGTCTAATAATTAGCCCTTAGCTTGTAAATTGTAGTATATTGGACCTCAAAATTGAGAATAAGCATATAAGTTATCTATGGTAATCCAAAGTTGCCTACAATATTCCGTTATCCTTGGATCACTCTATAACCAACTTCATCCTAAACAGGGTGAGCTCAAACGCATGTGGATTGCTTACTGAACAACGAATCTTTGGGTTGATGGTTTTATAATGCTTGAAGCTATTGTTCTTATAACTATACGTTGAGCTTTTCCCAAGGGTTATTCCCTGTCCTTTCCTCTGTTATGAGTAGAGCTACGTTAAGCTTTAAAATTTGTGGAAGGGTGTTCATCTTATAGCTTAAATTGACCAATCTATACCTATTCCTCTATATCTGCGGTTGCAGTGCACTTCCTACCCAGACTACAGTTATATTCTGATGAAGACCCCCATTAGCACTGCCATACCCACAGTCAACCAGCCTCCCCTTACGGCTGCAGACAGATTTTTAGCACCATGATTGTCTTCAGTGGGGATCTCTTGAGTGACCACTTTTAAACAGGTCATTTGCGCGGAGGTACTATCGACGAAGCTGCCATTTTTGGAGACGAACACGGTTAGGATAGGGGTAATCTTGTATGCTTCATTAATGAGAGCATCAACTGTGTAGTTTGCCTATAGATATGGAAGTCAATTGGTGCATACAAAACATGTATAGCCCCGGGGAAATCGATGAAGTAGCACTTACATAGGAAGTGACCTCGGTAATCTCCATCAACTTGTCGGATTTTTGCTGTACTGGCCAGCAATCTGTGGAGTTTTTCACCGCATTGAGGTCCCCGAGAGGTTTGACGGTAAAATTTGCCAACAAGCTACCTTGGCCGCTAAACCCATCGCAACCATCGAAGGGGCCCATCTGCAGTTCCCGCTCGAGAGCCTCGCAGGCATTCCCATTAGCAATTTCAGTCGCATTCTTGGCCCGCTGCGTAATTGTATCAATGCAGCGCTGCTCAACCACATCAGAACAAACCCCAGTGGCAGCACGGGTATCGGTTGCAACGGCATTTCCCTCCAGTCTAGGGCCTTTGAACTTCTTGCTGGGTGGAATATTGAAGATAACGGCACAGCTAGCGAGGCCCTTGGTCTCTACTTTCTCTGGCACAGCCAGGTAGTAGACCGACTTGAAAGGGCGGGTTGGCTTATCGTTATCCGCACCGTCGTCGACGGCAGAGACGTTGACACCCTTCACAAGGGAGAAGCCTTTTAGGGCAGAGGGCACATCCGGGATATGAGATAGCCCGACTCCTAGAAAAGTCTTGTCTTCAACCATGCATCGATCGTTTGAGCCATATTTAGGGCAGGAGACTTCTTTGCAGCCTACTAGGTTGGCATCTTCGGCAAAAACAGGAGACAACAATAGAGGTAGTAGAAGGGTGATAGCGTATGTCTTGTGGTGCAGCATCATTTCTTCATAGATAAGGGTCTAGCTGTGGAAAATTGTGATTGTGTAGAGATAATCCAGATGTGCATAGGCAAAATTGTTGTGTAGCTTGAGGGTGGAAAGGTGAGATGCTCGCGTGGTTGTATAGTGCGAGACGGAGAAGTTAGTCCTCCAAATGCGGGAAGGATTCGAAAAATAACCGCCAGGCTAGACTTTGTTAACACTGTCGCATAAATCATGTTGATCCTGTTACTGTCGCAGGTACTGGTTCACGTCAAGTTACATCAAAGATGCATGCAGCTGTCACTCCTGAATGTTGGTTGCATTCGTTACCCTTAAACACTGCGCTCCTCACGACAAGGCTGGCGGCTAGTCAAACCCGACGTGCATATATTCGTGACCTCAAACACTGCACCGTTTACAACGAGGCTGGCGGCTAGTCGCCCCAAGGTCATCTAACCCGCATAGCTCGTCCTTTACCGGCCAAACTCCTGCTATGCACGGAGTTTCCGGACAAGTCGGACACCAGTCAGGGTTGACACGCTCAACATGCGCAAATAGCCTCCAATTTTATTTCCATCCATCCCAGAATGGAAATTGGCCGTTCTTTTTGGTATATCGTTGCTTGAGACAGAAGCATGAATGTTTCGAACTGCTTTAACTTGACCCATCCTTTTGACCCTGGTGGGATAAGAGCATGAGAACTTGACAGCAATCAAGGTATTGCCTATATAAGTCGGTCATGGATCTCAAGCATCTCACTTTTTTCACACAAGAATCAGTCTCAAACACGAGTCCCAGGATTCCTGCCCTCTCCATTCTCAATTCCATATATACAATACCTCTTATCCACTTCAAGATGTCCCTAGTCAACGCCATTGGCGTCATCTCCGGGATCTTAGGCATCATCTCCTTTGATCCGAAAAACTTTGCGCATGAGCATCCAGTATCCGGCTCGATCATCAAGGTTGCGGTTGCTCTTGACGGCCCCAGTGGGCCCACCAATGCCGGTGGTGACCTCCCCGACGTGTATGTTATTCTTCATATATCGACCCTTTAACCAATATCTGTAATAAGTAGAAACCAAACTAACAACCAACCCAAGGCGTATATGGAATGACGTTGGAGATTTTGTCGGCATCAACAGCAAACCGGGGCGTGTCAAAAGTGGAAACCTAGGTGAAATCCAAGTCAGACATGATACCCAGGGGGTCTACTCTCTGTTCTCAGCCAACAACGATGCTATATGCGTTGCCTGGGTGACCATGACCTGGACCGACGACCGTGGTGGCAATAAGTACGCTGTTTCGGGAGACTATGGCGAAGTTTGCGGTGGCACCTGGTTTGAGAGCCATATGTACCCGAATGGCGATGAGGAATATCAGCCTAAATGCTTCTGGATCGATGGAGATGGGAACCAGCCAACGACCGGATTCCAAGTACGCTGGCCTGCCTTCTCAAAAGACGCCCTTGATAAGAACAATACAGACGCAAAGACAATGTGCAACGGTATCGATTTTGGGCTCCGTGACGAGCACGACCCTAACGTGATTCATCACTATACCAAGAAACGAAGCACGCCCGTCCGCGCTTATCAGGCCTCCGTCCCTCGCCCTGAGTGGGCTGCTACCGACCTGGTCATTAGCGACTCTAAGCACCACTCAGCGAAGAAATTGTGTATGTCCGATACGTCCATGGGTCCAGACTTCGTCCATATAGATGAGGGCCTCTTCTGTGATATGGGCACCAAGGCCTTGTATCCATTCTGTGGTGAAGACGGAGGCACTCAGTGCTTTGACATGAAGACCCATACCATTTCCACCGGCCCAAAGATGAATATAGTGAATGTCACTTCTGTTGTTTCCGACGATGCTGAGAAGCCGGGCCGTTACTCGCGGGTTCATGACTGGCGGCAGTAGAATAGGTGGCGCGGGTGGCATGAGCTACTCATTCGCCCATTACCGATCCCTTTTGTTCGTGCAATAAATATTCTTCTTCTTCCTCTTCTTCTTCATTAATGAAAGTTCCGGTAGTCATTGCGATGATACACCTTTCAGACTCACAATTTGTTGTCTTGATTGTATTATGCAAGGTTGCAAGTTTAGAATTCAACCAATCATGTAATTTACCGCAGACATATAAATCACACATTTGACCCCTTCTTATATCTCCTTACCTAAATGAATACGATAGAAATAATTAATTATCAAGCCCGGTTATAACCCGCCCCGCCCCAAATAACTCGAGTTATTTAGAGGGGATAACGTACAAACCCCCTTAAATATCTATTTTATTCCAATTTACGGAGCGAAGCGAAGTATATTGTATTCCAAAAAATATATATATAAGGGTCAAAATCTGCGTATTTATAGGTCTGCTATAAATTACGTGATTGGTTGAATTCTAAGCATTTGATTGGATACTTGCAACCTTGTATAAGTAGTGGCTTGGCAGCTTAATCATCTTACTCTATCAAAAAGCGACTGTTCTGTTTCTGTCACGTGCCACGTTTTTCTCTCCTTCTTGTAGGACTATAACCGCGTCCGAGTTCTTAATTACTAACTAATTTTATTATTTAATACTATTTTTTTTTCTATTTATATTTTATAGTTTATTTCTAATTAAGCCTTTAGCTTATTTCTATTCTTATATATCTTGTATAGTTTTATTCTATACTTCTATAGTACTAAATTCTATTACTAGATCTTATATCTAGACCTCGCGTTCTTTCTAGCGATACTATAAAGATAATATATAGAAGCTCTATCTTTTATATACTTTATTAATCTAAGTCTTTATCGCCTACTACTCTTTATATACTTCTTTTATTTTGTTAATAGCCGAAGAGAGTTTTATTTAACTAAGGGTATCTATATATTAAAGATAAAATATTGTTACAGACTATCTACGGCGTAGCTAAGATAAACACACTTATTGAACATAAGCCTTCGAAACAGAAGAACCTCGAATCACGTGATAATTCTAGAGGTCCCAAGTGCTAAAACCTAGATAGATCTTGCTACAAAGGTCGAAGTCTATATAACTAGAAGTACGCTTAGATGAATATTACTTAAAGGCTCTTTATAGATAGATTGGGTCGAAGTATTATTAGAAGTTTTATTTAAATAGAGATACTCTAGTATCTAACTTTAAGATAATAGCTCTAAGTCTAGCTTACTCTTAAAGGTATAAGTTCCTTATTATAATTAAAGTAGTATATAGATTAATTTAGTATAAGACTTATTATAAAGTAATAAAGTGTAAGGGGTTGGACCCCTATTTCTTTCTTAGGTCACTGCGCGCTCCGTAATCAATGAGGCTAGACATGAGGATGTGCGGGTTGGGTTAAACCCAAGCCTTTTTAAAACTGCTCACTGTGGGCGTGGGTTTCCCCGCACTCAAACTTTTGGGTCCCATTAAATATGGGTTTTACCCACGGGCCCTACGGGTCTCTAATAAAGCTAATTAATAAGCGGAAAAGCTATTTTCCGGTAGATAATTACCTTATTAGGAAGGTAGATTTAAGGTTTAGCCTTAGTAAGCCTTTTTTCCTTATCTATTTTGAATTTTTAAAAAATCCCCAAGATATATATATCAAAAGTGTTAGTACTAGGCTACTATTTAGGCCTAAAAGAAGCTATAAAAAATAGAAAAAATTTACTTTTTAGACTTTTTCTATATTTAGAATTAGCGTGGGGCCTATAGGTTACCCAAAACCCATTTTAATTAGGTCTACCCACCTATTTTTTACCCAAGGCTTTTTAGGGGTGCTCAGATTTGACCCAAGCCCAACCCGCCCAAATACCCGTGGGTTCGGCGTTGCACATCCTCATGTTGTGATAGGGAACTCGCTGCACCCTCCGGGTCAACTATTGTTCCGGTAACCGGAGCGGGCGTACTTTCTTCCGCTTAGCCTCGGTCTATCTTTTGTATTCTATATTGTAAGGGGTTGAACCTCTGTTCCCTTCTTGCTACAAAGGGGGGTTCTTCAGCCTGTACAACTAGAAGTACGCTTGGGTGAGAATCACTTAAGGGCTCTTTATAGATAGTTGGGTCGAAGTATTATTAGAGATATATCTAAACGGAGATACTCTAGTATTCGACTTTAAGGTAATAGCTCTAAGTCTAGCTTACTCCCGTAGGTATAAGTTCCTTATTATAATTAAAGTAGTACTTTAATTAATTAGATATAAGGCTTATTAAGGAATATTAGATAGATAAAGGAAGTATACTTATATTAATTAGTACTATAAAGCTATAACTTACTATAAAGTTAACTTTAATCGCAAGTATTAAAAGAACTTTTAATTAAGGTAGGAAATAAGTATCTTTATATATATATTAATCTAAATCTATATTACCTATTTCCTTATAAATCTATTATTAGTCTTAAACCTTAAGTCTATTATTAGATTTAACTCTTAAATCTATCGTTAGATTCGAATCTCGAATTTATTATTAGATTCTCTAGCGCCTTAGTAACTTAGATTCTATATAATTATATAATCTACTTATCCTAAGTTTTCTATCTACTCTATATTAGTCTAATAAATATAGTTACCTAAGTTATACTATAGGTAGTCTATAATATTATCCCTCCCCTTCTTAACGAATTATCTTAATCGTTATTTTCTCTTTCTTATAAGTAGTAAGTATACTCCTCGTTATTTTTCTAAGAATTCTATAAGTTCTTCTTATCCTTTATTATAGCCTCTAAATTTAATATTTAAAAATCCTTATATCTTTATAATTATACTCCCGAGCTTCGAGTTCTTTCTAAAATTATTAATTATTAAGAGTAGATCTCTAAGTTTCCTTATAATAACTATTTTATCTTAATAACTCCCTATATAGTTATATCTAAATCTCCCTCTAATTATTATATTATTTATTATACTATTTATATCTATAATAATTATTCTTATATAGATCGTACTTATAATCCTTTAGAGTAGACTTATTAGGAAGAATAGAAGTTCTTTATCTAGTATTATATTTTCGATAGCTACTTAACCTTATTATTACTCTCCTCCTAAGCTCTATATCTCTAGAATAAGCTCTCCTCTCTTTATTATACTATTACCGATAAGTTCTATTATCTATTAGAGTTTTAGACTACTAAGCTATAGCTTTAGCTTTATAATAATAAGATATTATCTTCTACTAAAAAAGTAGTTAATCCTCCTTCCTCGACTAGTCTATCTCTAGATTAGTTTTTCGCTATTTTATCCGATTCTATCGATATTCCTTAATCGCCTATATTATATTCTAGAGATTCTTAATAGGCTTATAAGTATTTTCTAAATTATTATAATCTTTTTATTTTACTAGGTAGTAAAGTTTTCTACTAATCCTTTTTTTATCTAGGATTCTTTCTACTTTATATTCTTATTCTTAGTTTTCTTATTTAAGTTCTAGTTTATATAGTTTAGTATTCTAGAGTACTTTTTTAATTAATAAGATATAAAATACTAGATATATTTTTATATAGTCTAGTAGTTAGAGTTTATAGTTAACTTATCTAAGTTATTCTAAAATTTTAAATAGTTCTAACCTCCGGTAGTCTAGTTTATTACTTAGTCTTATAGTTTTAATATTCCGTTATAGTAGAAATACTTTCTCCCCTCTTCTAAAAGTTAGTACTTCTATATATTTTTTATTATAGTAGTCGCTTATTCTATAACTTAAGAATTTAAGATCCTTCTTTATTATTTCATATAGATTTTATAATTTTTCTACTATTATCTCTATATCTCTTATATAAGTTTTTACTTTTCTAGGTATTTTTATCGTTTCTAGTTCTCTTCTATAATTTATAAAGAAAGATATTATACCTATTAAGGCTATCTTAGCTCTATTATAGGCGAGCTATACTATTAATAGTAGTTTAATCTAATTATTCTATTCTTAGTTAATATAGTATCTTAGGTATTATTCTATAGTTTAATTTATCCTTTTACTCTATCTATCTATTTAAGGGTAATATACTATAGATACTTTCTATTTAATCCCTATTCTTTTAGTAAGTATTATTTAAAATTTACTTATAAATCGTATATCCCTATCTAATATAATTTTATCTAGTAATCTATAATTAGTAAATACTTATTGTAGTAGAATATATATTATATTTAATACTAATATTTTTTTAATAAATAGAATAAAATAAATATACTTCGTTAATTAATCTATAATTATTATTATTATATTATATTATATATCTAATTATAACTCTTTTAATTTTAGTAATTTTATAATAAAATCTATCGCTATTAATTTCTAAGGGGTTTCCTTATATAGTATAGGTTATAAGAGTCTATATAGCGCGTATTATACTAATTTATTATATTAGTAAATATTATACTCCTAGATATATCGTCTAATATCTCTCTATATACCTAGCTAATAATAACTCCTAATAATTCTTTCTATAGTTTTCTTAATTCCGAAGTATTCTATACTTAATTTATTGTAATTTTTCTTTAATATTCGTTCCTATACCTTCTTAGATATATATATTTATCTATAGAATAGAAGTATTCCGTTCTCTTTCTAGTATCTAATATCTTCGCTTAAAATCTTTCTAATTAAGGAGTTCTATTTCGAGTACTTCTATATTTCTTCTTCTAAGGTATCCTTATTAGATATAACTATTCTAGTAGCTCTTAATACTTATATATCTAAAACTATATTACTAATATTTAGGTCTTAATATAAAATTACTCTATATTCCCTTCTTTTTATTATTAAGTCTAGTCTTCTACTTAATATATCCGTAAAAGCGTTCTTTATTCCTCTATAATATTATATTCTAAAGTTATAGTAAGCTAAGATCTTAATATACTATCTTAACTATCGTTAAGTTAGTTCTTTTATTATTATAAAATATATTAGGTTCTAGTAGTTACTAATTACTATA